ACTGTTCACTAGCTTGCTCGCCGAGTGAACAGGCAGGATACCAGTACAGTGTGCACTACACTACACTCCAACTCGACTAGGGTCGGATGCTTGCCCCTCCACAACTCGCCAATTTTTCGTTTCCCCTCTGTGGAGTCCAACAGGGCAAGCCGCGTTATGTCAGTCTTGATTCACTTCTCCGTTTGTAGCTGAACCGTCGTGGAAAGAGAGTGCGTCTGCGGCGGCGAGCGGGTCGTAATAATGCTTGCTGCTTCTCCTCTACCTTGCGATCTGGACTTCTTTTTGTTTCCCTTGCTGCTTCTTCTGCTGCTGCTGCTGCTGCTGCTGACTTGCTTCTCCCCCATCCTTCGCTTCAACCACACACCCCCTTGCCTCTTTGGCGTGTCGTTCTCCGACCAGGTTGCAGCTGAGGCATTTGCAGGTGATGGAAATTGCAAGTTCGAGGATAGGTAAACGCATCAGGTGCCGAGCGCTCACTCAGCCGGTCGTGAGGAGTCCGGCCCCTCAACTTTGCAGGCTGTTTTGGCCTAGCCAGGATTTCTGAACCAGGGGGAGGGGGGCGTTGGGGTGGAGGAGCAAGTGACATTGATGAGGCCTGCCCACGGGCCGGAAGCGACCACACAAGGAAGCTCAAGCTGATGCGAGGGATTCATTATTTTCCATTTTCATTTGCATTGCCTTGTGGTCCATCAAGCAAGGAATGCACTTGAGAAATGAGCCTCTTAGCGAAAGGGCAAAAAAGACACTGGGTGGCGATTTCCGGGGGTGTTCATGAAGCAAACATCCTGGACGGATGAATTTACACTCTACCACATTGTACCACTCCTAGGGAGTAATGATACGAAGCCATTATCGATCACCGACCGGCTGACTTTGAAGTGTGTTGGCGGCAAAAATCTCATCATCGCCCCCAAGTTGTTTCGGGCAGATGTATGAATTGATAGGATCTTCTTTCACCCCATGGAGGTTGCCTGCAAATAGTAATGCGCATCCATTGATTTATTTTGAGGTGGCTTCCGGCGCTTGCAGGAGGTACCGAATAAGGAACATTGGGCCTGGCGCTGTCAGACGCATATTGATGCTTGTCCACTTGCTCACCCTCGCCTTCTCGTTTCGTTCTTCTGCCTTTCTGTCTTTCTTTTTTAGGGGTTTCTTTTCTTTTTCTTTTTCTTCTGCTTCTTCTTGTTTAGACTAATAGACACTATAAACATCGGGAATCACAAATTGTGGGAACTGGACGGGTCTCGTACCTTCCAACTCCTATCCGGGTGAAATGATTCGTACATGAGCAATGTCTATTCTGGGTTTCCATACCGCCCCATATTGAGACGTGACGAGCCACTTCTGATGTCTGAGGGTGGTCGTTGGCGACGGGGGAGGATTATGTGTTTGAAGCTGAACAAAGGTGTTCCTGTTCCCTGTTGGAAAGGAAAACTGGGGACTTGAGTGTACAAGCACTGTGACGAAGCCTCCCTTGTCAGCCGTGGTTGTTGCCTTTGCCAAAAGTGGCTTACAATGTCACGCACGGCTGCTGGTGCGTTGCCGGGCAGGAGGAATGGGCAACCGGGGTGACATGCACGGCCTATCGCGGTTGAAGCAACATTCAAAGACAGCGAGCGCCGTGGTGTGGGAGGAGCAGCCCATCCATGCCCTGCTCACGGATTCCCGTCTTCTCCCGCCTGGTGAGATTGACACTGTGCAATGTACGTACTCTCTCCCGTTCAGGGTTGCCCTAAACAAGGCCATTTCCCGGAGGACGACTCCAGTAGGTGGGATTTAATGCTCGCTTCCGTCCAGTTCTTGCTTGCTGGAGATGTCGAGTTATTTGCATCCAATCCAGAGATCCATCCACAGATCTCTTGATGGATCCATCGATCACCGGGTCCTCCATGGGGGTAATGAGAGGGGAGTCTATGTCCCAAATCCTGCCGAGAGCAATCTTTACAAGTATTCGCCTTGTGTGTGGGAAAAGGATAGGGAAATAGTAATTAATCTTGATGAGGAACCTTGAAGTGATGGAGCGCGAGCCTAAAAGTTAGGCCTAAGAACGTAAAGTAGCGTAGGGGACATTGAATCGGGCAGTGTCTCTAATACGGGTCGGTCGTCTGGTCCATTGATCAATTAGTGCCGCGAGTACTTGTTAGGTCAATTTCGGTGTTTTCCAGTGCATTCAATGTTGCTTCGCCTTGTTGCGGTGCTGATCTGGCTGTGGATGGTCGGACCAAGAAACCAAGACATTGACGAGCGACATGGGGGTTTTGCGTGGACACACATCTGGATGGAGCACTGAAGAGATTGGCAAGTACCTCAGCCCACGAGACGCTTTTGCCTGATTCCCCCTTTCGATCTGGGCCAGCCAGGAGTGGGTGTGTTTTGAGGGGGTGCACTTTACACTCTCACCTGGAAAGCTGGAAGGCCTGGCCATGCCATGCCCTGCTCTCTCCCCTCCCCTCCCTCAAAGCAGCAGGCATCAAAGATTGAACCCCATGACTGTGTCGCTTGACACTGTGGCGGCCTGAGATCCAGGTACTGTTACCTCGAGACTGGAACATGCAGACGGCAGACGGGAGCAAATTGCTTACTTTTCTCACAGCATTCATGGTTAGCTTCCGCGAACCAATCTTGGTACTCTTGTACCCACAACAACGAACAAATGTCTGCTCATACGGCCCTCGTTACACTGCTCTTTCCATCTCCTCTTGACAAGGCCTGTTTGCAACCTGCCTGCCCTTTTCTTTGCTGGCTCCCGGGTACAGTTCACGCACTGTGCAAAGGGATTGGTTGAGTTGGTGCTGTGCTGTGCTGCTGCTTGTTTTGAGCAAGAGCCATGGGCTTGCGTTGCCTGCCCTTTCCTTTTCCCCCTTCCAAGCCAAACCAAACGATCCTTGGACCCGTTTCCGCCCTGAGAAAGTGGCAGTACAGGAAAGAGGAAAGGCCTGTTACTTCCTCGCTTCCTTTGTCATTCATTCCTGTCCTCCGTCGTCCATTCTTTCGGCACTCCACTGCCTTTGGCCCACCCCCTACCCTCTCCTCAATCGACCCCCTTTCCAATTGCTCTCTGCAACCCGCCCTCAAAGCCCGTGGAGACCGAACTATGGGACCGACCTAGGGGAAAGAGAGGCCCATGGAGTCAGTTCAAGTTAGAAACCCCATCCTGGTCCCCATTCCCCTCCCCCAGGCTTGGGCATCTACCCTCAAGTTTCCGGGACCTGAGGTATTAGAACGCCTTGTCGGTGGCTACGGGGTACAAGGCTTCCGGGTTCGGCTTCCGTACCTCCCATGCTCATGCCCGCACCGTCGATGCCTCCCACGCCTAGCGCCATGCCAATGGAGAAGCGAGTGTAGGAATAGGATGTTGCTCCATTCGATCCGCCTTTGGGTCTCGCCGGCTCAAGTATTACACCACTCTCGTAAACGGTGGTGGTACCCCGTACTCTCAACCACCGAATGAGGGACAGACTCGGGCGACGAAACATGACATCGACAGTCCAGGCCAAAGAGGCTTCTTCTTGTGCCCCTCTTCGATGTCCTTCCGGTAGTGTATTGCACAAGGAAAGGACCTGATTCCCCTGCTCTTTCTTCTTTGTATCTTCGCCAGTCTTGGCTGGTACTCTTGCTCTCTCGGTTTTTTATTTTATTTATTTTATTTTATTTTTCTGAGCCTATCGAGATTCTCCAGCCTTCTTGCTGCCCGGGAGAGATACTCATCATCCTTTGTTTTCCGTGCAAGTCTGCGGAGAGTTGTGTGTGCGGGTGTGGTGTGCATGGAATTTGTGTGTGTGCCTGTCCCTGTGCAAGTGTGAGTTGCACCTTGGAGAGAGAGAGTGTGTGTGTGTGTATGTGTGTGTGAGTGTGCGTGTGCGTGGGCTAAACTCATTATAGCTGCTGCCGACTAGTAGCGTTTCTACTCGTCGCAAGAGCTACCCGCCTCAATGTATGTACTCCCATTTGCATGCCGCTTCCAAACCACTTGATTCTTCAACCCTTGCCATTCCTTTTCTGCCTCGAGCTTTTTGTTTTTATACATTCCCTTCTCCTCCTCTCCTTCATCCTCTTCCAAGTTATTCAGACACGGCCTGTTGAACTTAACCAGCTGCCTCTTCTTCGTTCCACTCTTCAAAGACAGCTCCCTCTTCCAACTCGTGGAAGCCAAGTGAAGACGGCACTCCCTCTCCTCGACAACTCTTTCCCACTCCACCTGAAGATCTTCTTTCGCCAGTGCCAGTAGACACGACAACTGACGAACCTCGGACCTCTGGCTTGATTAGCATTCGTGTACGAAACGTTTTGTTCGCCTCTGCCCTACGGCTCGACCGATTCGAATCTTTCCCCCACGCCTCGCATTGTAGACGTATATAACCGTCTCGTACCCTCCTACTCCCAGCTTCGTCCTGCTTAATCAGGGCCCGATACCTTGGGAACAACTCCACGAGCTCCTTCGGTTTCCTCTTGCCTTCTCGTGCAAGCCCCTTCGACCCCCTCTTCACGTAAACGATTCGCAAGACCCGGCCAGTTACGAGACTCAATGACCTGCTCCAACACCTCGAGCATATAAGCCAAACGTCTCCCTAAGCTGTGGAGGGAACCTGTACAAGCTAAGCGTGCGTCTGCCAGAAACGAATCACGATATCCCATGGAACGTTGAAGCAAGCTTGTGTCAACATCCTCCCCTTTGCAATCTTTCAGACCCAGTCACTCTCTCTCCGAACCGGCTTACACACAAAGAAGCCTTGACCTTGTCGATTGCTAATTTTTGAAGCAGACTAGACCGCAGCTCCCGTCCCCATGTGCTCGATCAATACACATCCTCCAAATACACTTCTCCCTTCGCCTCCCGCAGTAGCACATTGGTCGTGCGGGGAGAGAGCGAGCTTCTCTTCTAAGCCCTTGGCCCATACGATATCCTACCCGAAAGTGCCATATCCTGAAGGGAGCAGGGCGCGGCCAGGAAGAGGCCATACTTACGTCTTTGGTGGCCTCAAGACGCCCCCACCGACGATATGAGCGCTACCTGCCACCAGCTTCCTCTGGGAGCGTACGACGGACCGCACGACCTCGCGGCTTTCCCGACAACGGTTTCCCAAGGCGGACACCAAACCCATCGCCATCGGCAACCCACGGCGTCTCAACCACACCAGATTTACCCCCATGCGCAGAGCCAGCCTTACTCTCAACCATCACGGCTGCCCCCTCTATCTTATTCACCACGACTCGCAACTTCTTCTAGCGCGGTTCAGCAGCCGCAGGCGAGCACGAGTGCGTTGCTGCCGAGTAGCCAACAAGCACCCCGGTCGTCCTCCACCCCTCAAAGCGGCACACTCAGTGCTCAGCCAAAGTCCAAGGAGAGCAAATCGGCTTCGTTAACGGGCCAAAGCAGCGATATTCCCGCCTTTATATGCCCCAAGGGCGGTTCTCTGCCCGATCTCGTGGCCCAGGTTCGTGCCAGCCCGCAAACCCCCATTCCCCCGTTTCCTTGCATCCGCTCCTTTTTTTCTTTACTATCCTGGCCTTGTTCTCTAACTCGTATCTGTTATTGTCTGTAGATGACTTGCTTCTTCTGGTTCGAGCCCACCGAGGTTCTCCGGGCGGCGGAGACGTTCCGATCCGATAGGAAGGCGGCGAGCCTTCATAGGCTGAGCATGGAGTCGACCCCTCAGCCCACGTTTAGCAAATGGGTGCACAACATACTCAACACGACCCAGGTGACGCGAAACGTCATCTTGCTCGCCCTTCTCTTCATTTACCGCCTCAAGAGGCTGAATCCCGCAGTACGGGGCCGAGCGGGTAGTGAGTATCGATTGCTCACAGTGGCGCTGATGCTTGGCAACAAATGTAAGCTTTTCCAGATTCCCAACTGTAAACGATGTGCTAACCAAAGATAGTCTTGGACGATAATACGTATACGAACAAGACATGGGCCGATGTGTCATATCTTTCGGTATCCGATATCCACTTGATGGAGGTCGAGTTCCTTAGCAATATGCGCTACAGCCTACTGACGACGGAAGGCGAATGGGATGAGTGGTTGAATAAGCTCGGGTCCTTTTACGACTACTACGAGGCGGCCCGAAGCCTGCCATCTCCGGCTCTCAAACTCGCGATCCCATCGCCCACCGCGCCCCTCCACTCGTCGCCGCTGGCGTCTCCGGTTGCGTATGCCAACCCCGGCCTTTCTGGAAGCGTGGCCTCGACAGCACCCTACCCGACGCTCCCGCAGCGAATGGCCAGGGCTGGCTGGCGGTCTCGTCGCCGCTGGCGAATAGGCCCAACCTCGCGGTCGGCAACGTGAGGAAGAGAAGCATCGATTCGGACCTGGCGGAGCCTCCCGCGAAGCGCATGTCTACGCACGGACCTTATTCGATGCCTTCTGTTTCTAGGGTTCCACCAACTGCGATGAACGCTGCGGTTCAAGTTCCCGTTCCCTCTGCGGCGGTGCTTGAGCCCGCTCGAAGGCCCGGTCCGGTGCCCACGCTCACAATCAACACGCAAGCCATGGTCCCGCAGGCAACGATGCCGTGCCCCGCCATGACGACGACGCCCAACACGTTGCAGCCATCCATGTCCCTCCCCCTTGGTGCCCGGCGTTCGTGCCATGGCGACCGTTTACCATCAAGGCCCAGTCGCGAACCCAGTTGTTCACTCGGCAAGCGCACCCATGGCCGGCCCGATGGCGTCGCAACTGTCGGCCCACACCCTCGGCCAGACGACGTACTTGCAGCCGCAACAACCGCAGCTCCAGCAGGTGGCGGCGCCGCCGATGCATCAAGTACAGCACTCGCATCAACAGCATCAGCATCAGCACCAGCACCAGCACCACCAGCAGCAGCATCACCAGCACCAGGCCCACCCGGCGCACCATGCCCCCACGATGTCGTTCACGACGCCCACCAAGAACCAAAACTCGGGTGCGCACCCGGGCATGTATAACTCGTCGCCGCTCGCAGAGGCCTACGGAGCCGGGTCGATGGTGCACACACCGGTGATTCACACGCCCATCTCTCACTCGCCGAGCATCTACCTGCAGCAAAGGCCGAGCCCGTACAAGCCGGTGCGACACGTCAACACGCTCCTCTACCCGCCGCCGTCGGCATCTTTGGAGGAGTATCACCTCGCCGTACCTCCGCAACAGATGCACTATCACCCGCTCGGCCGACGCAACGACTTGCGGACCGGTATTGTGCCCGACTTTGTCCCATATCGCGGATACCAGGGCCACACTCCCCGTTACTCAGCCAGGGTACCCTTGAAGCTCTTGTTGGTAGTTGATTTGCCCTTGGAACTCACCTGGAGATTTGTTTGGCAGATTGTTGATTGTTTCTTGTCCTCCTCCTTCCTTATTTATCATTACTCTCTCTCCGTCTCACACCACACACATACACACTCTCGCTCTCGCCCCCTCTTTTTTTTCTCACATCTACTTGTATCTGTTACCCGGATTAGAGTCTCGGCATCTGCATGGCATGGCATCAACGGCATTGAATGGGCCTGAGGCGTTAAATGTATCTTTTTTTTCTTCTTTCTCCCTCTTTTACCCTTGTTCCCCCGTCATAGCTATATCACTACACTCGGTCTTGTTGTCTCTCAGACCGCATAGCATTGAAAATCCTTAGCATCTTGGGCAGACGGACCGGACCGTCTTCATACTGCAGCACGGATCTGGCCCTTGTCGGAGGACAATTTCAATATTGGGATGGGTTTTCCCAGGCGAAGGGTGCGATGGGGGCAGGGTCCATCAGACTTTCTTGCTGCCCCTTATGTCTTTTTATTTTCCATCAAATCGGATCGGGTTTATCACAGTGCCCTGTGGCTTAGAACAAAGGTTTCCTGACATTGACGCCGCTTAGAATAGTTGCTTGTCTCTCAAACAAAGCATTGCATTGACAGGAGTTAATGATATGGCAATGGAAGGAAAGGTGGGAAACCAAGAAGCCATCATTATCAGAATATCAGCATCAATACAAACAGTACCTGATGATGAAGAACAAAAACATCAAAGTCGCGCTTTTGTGTACATGTGAAGTGTATGTTCAAATGTTGTGTAAGTTGATTCAGATTGGTGGGCTTCGACGTCTCTTGTGTTGTCATCGCGGCCATGGTAGATGGACCGTAGTGACGACGAAGGATGGTGAAACTGGGACTAGGCATCCCTCACGTGTCGGGCATGGATGCTGAAGTCTATTGCTCTGCGTGGCGACCTGAGACGCAAGGATCCCTTATCAAAGGGAGGGTTATGCATGCGCGTGTGTCTATATATGTGTGTGAGCGTATATGTTATACATGTAGTGCGCCGGGGACGCAGCTTCATGTCGGCTAGTAGAGGAAGGGGAAGGGGGGAAAGGCCAGTGGCTGATTTCGGTCGCCGTCGAGCTGCGAATTTCCGGGCGGGCATGAGGGCCGGTGACTGGCGAGGGAGATGATGGGAGAAACTGGTAACTGGTGTGGTTGCATCGCGGGCAACGTGGGAAGAATTCCTTTTTTCCTTCTTTTTTACATCTAGCTTACACCTTGGCGGGATCGCATCGAGAGCGCGAGATGTCGTTTCAGGGAAAAAGGGGGGAGGACAAGACGAGGCTCTTGAAAAACGATGTGTATAAGTTGATGTGTGGAAGTGAGGCGGACAAGATGAGGCTTCGGGTTTCAGGCACCAGGCTTTCGGGCGCGGTTGGGCGTGGCGCAGAGAGTTGGAATGGAGCACGGGACGCGGAGAAGGGTTGTACAGAAGATGAAGGCGAGGAAGAAGAAGAAGAAGAAGAAGAATGACAATAGCAAGTGAGGGAGTAGCTATGGCTACTCTCTTTGCACACTTTTGCATTCGTTGCGCAAGGGGAGGATCATGATCCTTTTCCGACTTCCACATCTCCGTCTCTCGCTCTTTTTTGCGATTAGGCTGTCTTGGTTGTGCGAGTTAGAGCATAAGATGGAAGTAAAGAAAAAGAAAAAAGAGAGGGAGACAAAGTAGAAGAGTGTCGATGGTGGTCGTGGTGGGCTGCCGACGTCACTTTCTGTACGATCTCTCGCCTCTTGTTTTATTACACCCTTTTCCTCGCCTCCCGCGCGCCCTCCCTTTCCCCTCCATCTTGGATGAGAAAAATAGGGTGACACAATGGAGGGGTCCTCCCCACCACATCCAAGGAAAAATGAAAAAAGAGAGAAGAAGGATAGGAGAATATTTACTTGGTCCTCGGGGTCTGTCTCCGACCCTTTTTTGTATGGGAGGGGCGAACGAGGCCCAGCCTGCGGAGGGCTCTTTGATCATATGGAGGCGCACAATGGCGACGCTCGCGATGGCTTAAGAGAGAAGGAGGGTAAGAGAGGAGGGCGGGTATGTTACGCGTAAGGCGTAAGGCGTAGAGGCTCATGTTCCCATCTTCTTTTATCCCTTGGTCAAACTTGTATATATATACCTGGTGCTCTCTCTCTCTCTCTCTCTCTCTCTTCGTAACAAAGATTGCCTTCCTATAAGTGATATGTTACTGAGCATAGTCTTGCGCTCTTAGAAATATCACACAAGAAGAGTAAAGGCACACAGTTCTCCTCATCTGATCTATATATCACAGCAACACATCCCAGCAAGCCAGTCCGCCATATAAACCCCCCAAACCAACCGCAACCTTTTTCCAACTCAAAAGAAAAACGAGACAAACCAAATCAAACCATGCCATCCCAGAATAGAAGCCGGTCCCGCCACCCCGGGGCAACATCCGACCCCTCGCCCCACGCCAAACCAGACCCGAAGCCCACCAGCCTCCAGCCCAAGCACGCCAAAAGCCCGGCCAGAGACCGACCCCCGAGAGCGAAACAACGTCCGACGGCGAGGAGGACCCGCCCCAGAGGCGAGGAAGATCAGATAAAGACGCACCGCCGCCGCGTCGGGCAGCGCAAGACGGCTGGGCTCGGGAGCCCGAGCGCGAACGAGGCCGAGGACGAGCGCGGAAGAGGACGGCAGAAGTAAAAGCCGAAGAAGGAGTACAGCTAGAAGCCGGAGCAGGAGTCAGAGCCGGAGCCGGAGCCGGAGCAGGAGCGCAACTCGTCCGGGAAAGTCCTCCGCCAGCAAGCACGATGCCGACACGGCAGGGACCTTCCTCGCCTCCTTTGGCCTCGCCACGATTCTCCTCCGCCAACGCTCCCGCTCCAAAGACGCCCGCCGCGCCAAGTCAACCAATATCAAAAAGACACCGCCTCCTCCTCCTCCCCTCCCACACGCGCCGCACTTTTTCGTCGACGAACGTTTCTACGCCTACGGCACGTCGGCCCCCGCCCATCGCCCCATCTACATCACCACGCCCACCCGCGGACGAAGCACTGCTCGCGAATCGCCCCGCCACCGCTTCTCCTCCTCCTCCGCCGCTGCTCCTCTGCACCGCAGCCGTAGTAGGAGCGGTAGTAGTAGCAGACGATGGAGACGCAGAGATCAGTCTAGGGGCCAACGCGTCTACGATGTGCTGCGGGAGAGCGTGGAGCGGGAAGTGGTGAGGCCGTCGGTGTACGTGGACGAGCAGGTGCGGTCCGGGTGGCGTGGGAAGAGGGTGAGATGGGGTGGTGTGGTGTAAAGGATCTGAAGGGTCTTGTTTCTTTGTCTCTCTTTACTGTTACTACTACCATTGTGCTATTACTATTGTTGCTTCTAGAAGGTCGCTTTTCCTTGTTTGTTTGATTTTTGTTTCCTAGCCTTGTTTAGTAATAAGCAATACATCCATAGATATACCCTTAGCTTCTTAGAAGGCGAATTCCTTTCCAACCTTTACCACTTTTCGGTGTGCACCTTTGTGCACACCTTGCACTGGGACTCATTCAAGGCAGCCTTAATATCTTTGACGCCGCGAAAGTGATAGGCACAAGGAAGAGAAATGACAAGGACTTACCTAGAGAAAAAAAAAAAAGGCAAAGACAAAGGAAAGCCTGACAGAAGCCTGGGTCCTTTCCTGCGCCTGTGATGTCATGCGTCAAAGTGGTCTATATTCTTTATATTCTTTACCATCCATGTATGACCAGACCAATAACTACCAATCTCTCCAAAATTCCAAATCCCCCACCTCCCACCTCCCTCTTCAAAAGTTTACCTTGACAGAGAGAGAGAGAGATCGGCGTGGTGCCGCCTAGCACTTCCCTTTCCATACTACATGTTGGGTGCATTCTGTGTACCCATATGCGTCACAGCACCCGCCCCTCCACCACAAGCGAGGCGGGCGGCCCCTCCTCTCGGAACCCAATACCGACCCAGGCGACGGCGACGACATCGACACCCACGCAGCGGCGGCCTGATCGACCGCGGCCTCCTTGAGTCTCGCCTCGAGCGCCGCCTTCTCCATAATTTCATCCACTGCGTCTTGCCACCCTTTCCCGCCCGTCCTCATGACCAGGTACGGATTGAGGTCTACCGAAAAGTACCTCTCCCGACGCGTCGTGCTCCTCGGCCCGCCCTCCAGCGCCGACAACGCTGCTCTCGTTTGCCGCTGCCTCTTGGCCGGGCGCTGGGAGAGCGGCGTGCTGCTTTCGTTGAGGAGCACCAGGTTCCCCAGCCGTAGCCGCTCCTTCTTGAGGCGTTCGTCAAACGCGACAATGGCCCGCACGTAGGGCGCCACGTCCAGCGTGATGAGACGCATCGTGCGGTCAAAGACGGACGGGTCCAGGTACCCGAGCGCGCTCGTGGGGAACTTATCCGAGGCTGCAATGGGGTCAAAGGCGAAGCCCATGTCCATCCTACTAATCGAGTGGCGCGACTGGTGCCCGTCCGCGGCGGCTCGTATGTTGGTAATGGCCGACGCCTCGTTGAGCGGGGCCGCCGCCGACGTCTCGTGCGCGAGATGGCGCCGTTGAGCCGTGTCCCTAAACACCGCACGAGCTAGACACTTGGTCGCTGTCGAAATGTGGTTTGATAGTGGGCAGTGGTGTGTCGTCACTGGCGCGTCGAGGACCGCGCGGCCGAGCGTAAAGTCGTCTCGTGCGCGTGAATTGATCTCGGGGAGGGTAGCGTCGATCGATTCCTGTGTTCGTAGAAATTGTCAGCATACCCCGTGTCTGTCTCTGTCTGTCCACCTCCGCCACCGACGCTATTAGGGTAGGGACTCGGAGCGTTACTTCATCTCCCAAACACTTACATCAAACCGCTGCCCGAATCCACCGGCGGCGAGAATGTCGGCCGCGCTCATAGATTCGATCAGCCCCGCGTACATGTCTAGCGATGCAAGTGTCTGCTTTCGCGCCATGGCCGTGGCCGTGGCCTTGGCCGCGTCCGCTCCCTCTTCCCGGTGTCTGGCGGGAAATGCCTTGGGGTTCTTGACTTCGAGGAAACCATCGCAGTCGACTCCCCACCACTCCCACGTCTGATCCACAAGCTCGGCTTCCACCTCCGCCTCGGTCGCGCAGCTCGTCACCACGTCCCGGGCGAAGCAGCCCATGCCGGTTCGGTACGTTCCTTCGCTGACCACGCGCACCACGTCCCCCTCTCGTCCAGATCCGAGCCCTTGGGCCAGCGGGAATAGAACCAATCCATCCCGCCCCGCCTGTCGCCCACGCCTAGCTGACACCAGTAGTTCAAGTCCGTGAGCGAGGCCCGGAGGTCTTTGCACCGCATGAGGTAGAGATCCTCTACCGGTCGTCGTTCGAGAGCGTGGCCCTCGTTTGCGGCGATGAGGAGCATCGCATCCACCGCGAGGTCGGTGGGTGGCGGGGTAAACCTGAAGATACCGTGCAAGCTGAGGCTCTGGAGAGGTACGAGGTTCTCGTCGTTGCACGTCATGACAAATGGTCTCTTAGACTGGGCAATCAGTGTCATAATCGTAACCCAAAATTGCTTGTCTTCCTCGTACAACACATCCACTTCCTCGAGAAGGATCAGCGACTGCTTCTGCGACTTTGATGGCTGCCCCGCCTTTGGCGTCGCTGCTTCGCCTTTAGGTTCCTCCAGGTTCGGTTTTGTTGTTGAGGTGGCCGCGGGGTCGCCGGGGCGGCGGAGGGCTTGGGCTTGAAAAAGACGCCATCGTGCTCTGTTTCCCCGACTTGATATCCACAGCTGTCTCATCAGCTTCGGTATCGGTGCCGTCACCCGCATTCTTCCCCGTTGCGTTGTTGCTGGACGAGGTGATTGCGCGTCATGTCGCCCACTTTTTCAATCACGTCCTTCCCACTGCGCCTGCTGCTGGCATTGATCTCAAAGACCTCATAGTCGAGCTCTTTGGCAATAGCGTAGACGGCCGCCGTCTTTCCGCAACCGTGGGGACCGCTGATGACGATGGCATTCGTTAACCGGGCTTCCTTGGCCTTGGCCGCCAAATCCCCGGTGCGGATCACCGTCTTTGCCGTTTCCTTGCGCGGCGACATCCACTCGTTGTCCGCGTCCGAAATCTCGTCGAGTTCGTCGGCCTCGTCCTCGCTCGATACGATGAAGCCGTCTAGCTTCGACCTCTTCTTCTTCTTTTTCGGCGGCCCCAGAAGCCTTTGCCACGGGAACTGGTTTCCGCAGCACCCGTGTCGACAGATTGGACCTTGAGGTTTAGCAGCCACTCTTTGAGGAGTATGCCCTCCTTTCCTGGCTGAAGGAGTTCGGCCGTGCATTGGGGAGCATACTTTTGCGCCCAGGATGACGATTCGCAATCAGACCGGTCGTATGCTGAAAGGGACGTCTTTAAAGAGTTGAAAAGCTTGCCAATGACGGGATGGACGTTTTGGCCAAGTTCGTCCTCGCTAGACTCCACTATCGTCGAGCGAGAGGGGGCTTGGTACGTTTTAAGTTGGGGCCGTATCCTACGCTGAATCTTGGGACCCGACTCGAAATGTTTGTGGGGTAAGCGTAACTCCGGAGGTGGACGAGGAATGTCGTACGAGTTCGCCTGTCGGAGAGCCGTGAGGATTGCTGGGAGGTCGTATGTTTTGACAATGGATTGCAGAATAGATTCGGCCCCCGCGAGACCAACCGCGTAACCCTTGACCTCCGCAACGGGAAGAGACTCTGTCCAGGGACCGTTGGCCTGGCCGGAGACGACTCCAAGGGTTGCACGTGCGCCATCCCCTGGGCCGGCCAAAGGGGAGGGCGGCGCCGGGGACCTTGAGCCCCGCAGACTTGATGCCAAAGGCGATGCCCTGCTTGGGAGGAGCGGCCCGTGCCCGCTTGGGAGAGCATGGCGTAGAAGAAAATATGACCTGCTTTAGCGGTTTGGCAGGTGTATCCCCGAAGCAGGCGAGCTCTCTGCGTTGCCAGCCTTCTTGGGTTTCCCAGAAAAGAAGGGATGCGTGGCCTTCGGAGGCCCGTTCGAGTCCCGTTGGGAGGCCCGGTGGCTTGGACTTTCGGTGTCGGCTTGGGTGCGATGAGGGGGAAGGATGTTTGGCGGGATTGAGAGAGGATTTGCTGAATTTGTTGGCCTAGTCTCGCCCGAGTAGGTTGGTCGCCGCACCCGTACTGTAGAACCACTATGAAGCTCTTCTTTTTCCCTTCTTTTTCGTCATGGGAGTGCCAGCTGTATTAGGCCCTAGCGGCTCTGGCTTGTTTTTCGGCTTTGGAGGAGATCCGAGGGTACCCGTCTTTGGGTTGAACTTGATAACCTTTTTGATTTCGGCTCTGCCGATGGCTCGGGGGTTGGTAAGATGGTAGGCGCTCCTGTAGCAGGCGTGTTTGGCAAAGATATGCTTGGAACAGGTACGCTCGCAATAGGTATGCCTGGATAATGTACGCCTGGATCACGTACGCCCGTATCATGTACGCCCGTATCATGTACACCGGGATAAACCACGCCTGGATAATGCACGCCCGGATCGTGTACGCCTGGATAATGCACGCCTGGATCATGTACGCCTGGATCATGTACGCCTGGGTAATGTACGCCTGGGTAATGTACGCCTGGGTAATGTATGCCTGGATAATGCACGCCTGGATCGTGTGCGCCTGGATAATGCACGCCTGGATAATGCACGCCTGGATAATGCACGCCTGGATCGTGTACACCTGGATCGTGTGCGCCTGGATAATGCACGCCGGGATCGTGTATGCCTGGAAAATGTACGTCTGGAGCAGGTACTGGAACAGTGAAGAACTCGGCGGGGATCTTAGGATAGCTTGGAGGGGGATAATAGGACGGCACCGGGGGTGGCATGGAGTAGATCGTGGGCATCGGGTAGATAGGCTGGATCGGTGCGGGTAGATCCGCAACCTGCGGCGTGATGTCGAGATTTACGGCATTTTGCCCGCTTAAAGGGTCGGTAACCTTTCGTTTCGTCCGCCTGCCCTCGTCCTCGGTGTTATTCGTCAGGAGGGTGGTCTTCCTCCTCTTGTTCGGTCGATCGGCCTTGGGGTTGAGATCACTGGCCATGCTGCTCGGGCCATCGACTGCCGCAGGCAAGCTCGTTAACGAGGTATCGGCAGGCACGCCATTCTGAGGGAGAAATGGCTGGGTCGGGGCCTTCTCTCCGGTGAAGAAGGGATGGAGCTTTTCGAGCCTTGTTCCTCATCCATTGGGGGAACTATGGGAGGGTACGCGAGGGTACTCATTGGCAGAGGCTCGAGTTCTCCTGTAGGGCCAAAGGATACGATTAGCATACCAGCTTCATTCCTCCCTCTTCACCATGACCTATAGAACTTGACCATACCTGCACCAGCACACTCCAGCAGTGACAAGGGATGCAAACTAGGCTTCCTCAGGAGAGAAACTTGCTGGCATTGTCTAGGGCCGTGAATTCCAGATAGCAAGGAAAGAAAAACAAGTATGAGAAAAGAAAATACTGGTTATACACAGTAAGAATGGAAAAGAGGAGGCTAAAAGGGCTCTTCTCTCTCTGTAGAATTGTTGGGGTGTAGCTCCTGAATTGGGGATATGGGATTTGGCTTATTCACGGAATTTGGGTGATGGGTTGAAGATGAAGTCGCGAGTCGAGTCGCGTCTGAAAGTTCCTTACCTAACGCGCCTTCCACTTTAATTGACCAGAAGAGCACGCACAGGGACAAGCAAAGCCAGCCAAAGACCCCACCACTTGGTCTGTGCACCAGAGCAAGGTACATGAGATTTGTACCAAAGGCGGTGAAAGCCCCTCCACCTCTTTTCGCCGGATTCGCATGGGGATTTTTTTTTGCTTTGGGTCTTTTTCTTTTTTGGGGTCCAATATCCATCACCTTCAGAGCGGCCATCACGACTCTCGGCAGACGGCTTCTATACCAACCACCAGGGCCCGAACGGAACGATTCCCCGAAAATACGCTCTTGGATGTTGAATTGACCGGGCGATTGCCGGTTTTCGATTCATAGAAGAAAGGGAAGCGGGTGTGGACACAAGACCAAACGCTTCGCACGCCGGCCCTCAGTCACCATGTCTGCGAACTACAAGATACAGAAGCCCTATGTTCTCGCCGAACTTCCTCGACCTCTCGGACAGGCGAAGCGATCCTATGTAGTTGGCGAGGTTTACGGACATAACCCCAGTCACGGAAAGAGGAAACGGCCGGAATTGGTTGTTGGCATCAATGGGGAGGCAGCTAATCTTTACGATGTATGGATTGACCCCGAAAAGGGCTGGCCCTTTCTTTTACAAACGTCTCCTCGGGTTCCTGACTAACCATTGTCAACTTTGCTTTCTTTGTAGGTCTCCGCCTCTAGATTGATCACCTCTTACCCGATCCCGCCGCAGCAGTCCTTCACATGCTCGCCAATCTCCTTGAGACTACGTCTACCCAAGGGACAGGGCATCGCGCGCTACACGTACATTGCGACCAAAGAGCCCACGGGCCAATCGTTGACACTCTTCCGTGACATTGTCGACGGGGCGGGAAAGACGACCTCCACCTCCAAGACACGCCACATCAAGACGCCGTCGCCGATCCGCTACATTGGGGTATCCCACGCCATCACGAGTTTCGCCGATTCCAGCGGATCTCACCGCTTGGTAGGGAATCTCTTGGTCATCTGCACGAATGGCGACATCATTTCGCTCGATCCAGAGACGGTGGAGCAGAGATGGAAGGAATCGGCGAGTCGGCTATCGCGCGACGAAACGTCGACCCCCGTCTCCGAGTATACCGTCCAGCTCGTGTCCATGACCTCTGCGACGGATGTTATCGAGGGCATCTTCGAGGGCCGACCGGATGCCTTTACGGCGTCGTTCCCCCAAAAGAACTCGCTGCAAGAATCCAACCCGGACACGCTGGTGCTTGTATCGCATTTGATGAGGAATGGGGTCCAGGAACGTCAGCTATCCGTTATCGGGATCCTGCCCGCGGACGATTCGGCGGCCTCGATGCAGCGGATGCTGCAGCTCCATGTCACGCCGATCCCTAACAAGCCCGGTTCTGCTGTCGAGGGCCCCTGCGACTACAAATTGCACCTTCAATCTGGCTCACTACTCGAGTTGCGCGATAGCAACCTAGTGGTGTATAACATCACGACGGCCATCTCGACCGTGAAGCATTCTATCCACATGCAGGGGGCGACTTCTTACCTCCGACTCTCCGGCCACTCGATCCTGGCCGGATCGCCAACCCACCTCACCGTCTACAATCCCACCTTCCATTCCCTCCAGGCCACGGTTCCCCTAGATCTCTCCGAAATCGCGTCTAAGCCGACGGGTGACCGGGCCACGCCCGCTTACGCACTCTCCGCATATTTCCGCCGCCTAGACGTGGCCGTGGGGCTCTACGATAACCTCCTCGTTGCGGTGCAGGTTGTACCTCCCGCATCGGGGGCAAGCGATCCTACGCCGACGGCCTGCTTATCGACTCGATTGGACGAGGCGCACCCAAGGATGTTTCGACCCCGGCGGCTAGACCCAACAAGAAGTTGCGGTCCGCGGCGCTCTCTACCCTCCTTCCCGGATCCATATCGGGCACGTACATGGCTACGTGTATCCAAGAGATGGACAAGGCTGACGAACTTTTGGCAGAGGGGAAACTGGCCGACTTTGAGCAGCTTCTCGCGAACAAGTTCCAGGTGGCGCTCGCGACAAACGAGGAAGAGGACGAGGAAAGCACCGAGGGCAAGGGCCTTCGCGACTGGAAGTGGCTTCCTAATCCTTTTTCGTACGCTCTCGTGGACAGGCGATGGGTGCTCTACGCGATCGGCCGAGTGCTCTCCCTCGACGCGACGTCGGACGATGCCAATAACGCGGTGAAGCTAGTGCTTGCGGGGAGCAATGTGTTCATTTACTTGGTGGTAGCGGGACACTTCACACTGAGCAACATCAGGGCGGCGTTCCGAGGAACGGACCAGGGCCCCGAGGTGCGGGACGCCATCTTGGCGGAAGGGCTAGTTCTACGACTGGCAGAGGTTGACCCCACCCTGGAGCTACTCGTCAGCTACATCTTGGCAACGAAGCTCGGACCGGACGAGCTCCTGATGGGTATCCGGGAGGTGATGAGGAGTCTGGACTACGTCAGGGACTCGCTCAAGGCGACACCCAAGCTGCTCACGCAGGAAGCCCACGACAAGGGCAATGGGGAAGGGGACGAGAAGCTACGGATGGAGCTGGACCAGCTGGACCAGCAGATCGAGGCGACGCAATACCACCTAGGCGACCAGAATAGCACGCGGGCTAACGGCCTCACGGCGGCACTAGCCAAGCTCAGCACACACTCGGCGCCGACCGTCGTCAAGGCGCTCCGGGCATGCCTCAAGGCGGACGAGATCTTTTCGCTCATCTTCGTCCTCCGGGCGGAGCTGGTGCGCGGATCATGGACGTCGCGCTACGTGGACGTGGGCGTGGCGGCGGGCCAGCAACAGCAGCAGCAGCAGCAGGCTCTGTCCGAGGCGCCGCCCGACGACAGCATCTGCCTCATCGCCAACCTCTTATCGCGGTGCGTGGACGCGGTAGGACCCACGGGCTGGCTGCTGAGCGACTCGCTGTCGTCGTCGACCCGGGTGGAGTCCGAGACGGGCGACTTTTGCGCGCGCTCAAGCTCGAGGTCAGCGCGGCGCTCGAGGGGCTGGAGGAAGCGGTGCAGCTCAACGGCTTGCTGGGCGAGGTGGTGCGGTACGGCGCGGCGCTGCGGGAGAACGGCCTGGCGGCGGGCGTGGTCGGGGCCAACCCCAAGCTACACCGGGCGGAGGCGAGCATGCTCCCCGTGGGGATGAAGGCGCGGCAGCCCGTGTCGAGGGAGAAGGTGGTGGCGGGCGGGGAGGTGGTCAAGAGGTCGCAGCGCGAGATGGCGCACCTGATGAACCAAAAGGTGCAGGCGTACTCGCTGGAGAGGATCACGTTGTGAAAGGGCAGAGCGAGGATATGCTAAGGGGGAAAACCCCGCCCTTGTTGTTTTTTGTGTGTGTTTTTCTTCTTTTCTTCTTTTACAGATTTCTTTGTATGTTGGGGGCGGGCGCACGCAGACAAAAGCAACATAAACATCAATACAAGGGAGGCTGTGACGGTGAATGGTGGCTTAAGGAGTATATCCAATAGATGCGTTGTGTGTGAAAATGTTGAGCTGGGGGCTGTGTGCATAGTTGATGGCGGCTCAGGGACTTGTGTGATGGACGAGGAGAGTGATCAGTACCAGGCGGAATGGATCAATGGGGGAAGGATGTAGAAAAACAGAGTAAATGAGATATACAGTATAGGTGTTACTTTTCTTGACTTGACTTCCTACATGTAGTGTATTGATATCTACCCTAATCCTAGGCATTGACCACATCGTGCCCTCCTTGTGCCAGGAAGCACGATTCATTCTTCTCTGCCTGTCTCGATAAGTGGGAGGTAGGCTGCTTGACCTGCCACGATCTCTTGGTACTTGATACGGAAACATGCCAGGATCGTACCTATGTCGGGGATTGTCGCCGCCCAGCTTGAGAGTATTCACAGTAGCCTACCGAGGGGCAAGAGCCAGGTGCCATCACTTTTAGTTCCAAGATTGCTTTCTTCTACCTTGCGTCAACAAAAATGGCTGCGGAGCATCCGCCAAAGCGCGTGATCCTACGTCTGCGATGCAACGAATTCGACGACACGGTCGCGTCTTACAACGAAGCCACCTTTCCTTCCTGGGGCGACCGTTTAGCAAGTACGAGCAGAATCGGCATATTGCCCATTTCCAAGGCCACCAAGAGTACCAAGAACACGACCCTTGCGCCTCGTTCTACATCATCCTGGACATGAACGCGGCCGCGATCAAGGAGCCGGACTTGGAGAGGTTGCCGCACGAGATGTATCGCGTTCGACGCCAAAAGGACGATGGCACACCGTAAGGCTCTACTAGAGTATAAGTTCGTTTAGGGGCTGGTTTCACTGAAAACGTAGCTTGTAGCGTTGTTACTCCTTTCGCAGGTCGTTATCTCCAGCTCGCCCGCAGCTTTACCGATAAAATTGTATACCTGGGGCGAATGGGTCGGATGAAGGACTCATTGGGAAATAAGCTTTAATTAGGAGAGCTCACTCTCAAAGGGGGACATGTATGTGTTGGATGGGAAAGGGGGTTATCACGAGTCGGTATAAGTCTAGGAAATCGAGAAGACTGTACTTGTCCGGCTCCTATTTAGATTTCTACCAGTGGAAGGTAACCCGAGGGAACAGAATGACGGTTAAGAACGAGACAGAGATATAGCAAGAATCCTCCAGCATGTATCTTTTATGATTTGCAGTGCAGGCCTCCCAGTGTGAGAAGATTGCCTGTAGTTAATATTTCAATCTGATCTTTGCCAGTATTGTGGTTGAGAACCAAGTATGGGAGAGGGCACCCAGATGCATCTCATAGCCTCGATTCTCCCATCACGCAAGTCTTGAATTCCCGCCCCTCGTCGTGGCTGCGAAGGCCTCTTGCCGGTTTTTTCCACTTCACGTTGACACATCTGCATGCAGCATGTCGGAGAACGATAGGTGTGGTCGCACACTCAGACGCAAGGAGGACCCTCTGTGCGTCATCCTATGCTTCTCACCTGTGCAACATCAAGTGTCGTTTGCCGAGAGGTGGGAATATAGCACTTTTAGCTAGCTTAAAAGAGGGGGGACGGGATGGGGGTGGGTTTCACGAGGAGCAATTCTTCTTCAAGGCACGTTGGCAATCAATTCTGGATGAGTTCGCTTGGACATGGATAACGCCGGACATATACAGGCTGTGCGAACTTGCAGTACTAAGAATGGCGTTGACCTTTAAACTCTTTTATTTTATCTCCTCCCCGGTATGCAAAACAAGGTGAGGACTGCGAGCCTCGCCCGCCCCCTTCTCGTCAGATAGCACCGGATCATCAACGTGGGGAGATGGAAGGACGAGGCGGAACGAGGATGGTGGGCCGCTACTATAGACGGGGAAGCACGCCGGACTCGGCTCGGTAGCGTGATGACAAAACTCTTTTTGCTCGGTGAGCCTTACCAGTCAAAAATAAAAAAGGGACTTGTAGTACCAAACAGCGCAAAGATGAGATGACATGATCCCATGCCCTCGATTCGCGAGGCTGTTTTCGGGGAGATTCCTTTCCCTGTTCGGCAAGTTTTCTTTGTGTAATGGTGTGACTGGTGATCGCAAATCGGACCCGCCTCGCCACTTGACGGAGCTTTCGCCCGGTGTCCATGTCACCATTGCTGCCTGGGGGAGGGAAGTAGGCTCATTCTAGAAGGTTGAGGAATCTTACCCCCTTTTGAAAAAGAAAGCGAGGAGGCTAACCAGAGGTAAGATAAGACGAGGCAGAAAACAGTCAAGAAAAAGAAGAAGAAAAAAGAGTGAAGAGCGGCTGAAAAAGTCTAGTGTAATAGCTCGCTTCCGGGGCGGGCACATGGCACGCGGAATGCTCTCCCACTGGCTTGGCTTTTATCGATAGAGTCTCGATCCTCTGCACAGCCCAAAACGCTTTTCCGACCTCCGACCTCCCCTTCCTCATCATCATATCATTCACCAGCGGCCGCTGTTTGTGGCCCTCAATCGCATGCAGGGAGATCAATCTGTAATGAGTGGGGAGCAAGGGGAGACGACGTGAGAGAGCTAGAGAGGTCGAGTGCCGCACATCCAATGTGGCTGAGGGAGAGGGGGAAAGGTGGCCCAAAACCCGACCCCGTCTCTGTTTGTGGCTACATGTACCCTTTTCGACGAGTTCCACTGGATGCTTCAAAGACGGGGAGGCTGAGCAGAGCAGCCCCGGCGAACGGATGGATGCATCCCATTCTCACGCTACTTGCCCACTCACCAATCTCCTTTGTCGCGAGCCTCGCGCCCGGGGAGTGAAAGAGCGAGTCCCGAGCCCGGGAGGGAAGCCCACGGGGTCGTGTTTGCTCCCCGTGTTTCCTTGGCTCGGGGCGAATTCTTGTGCAAGGTCTCTCCGATGTATCTATTCTCATGAGAACTCCACTAGTCCTCCCCGAGGTGAGGCTTCGATATCATCGGCATTTCAGACGACGATCCGGTGGCAAATAGGGCAGACAGGCAAGCGATCGTTGCGATGGAGCCGAGCTTATATCGGTATTTTTCTTCTCCTCGTAATGGCACCATCTCGGTATCTCAAGATGTATTCTCTCAAACAAACCAGACTCTTTGTTTGGCTGTTGCCTCCTGTGATATATGATCATGATTTTGCCAGGGCGCGGGCACCATAAGAGAAGCCTCACGGGGCTCTTCATGCCAGCGGGCGTGGCCACCAGCCCTATCAAGCACTCCCAAAACCCCCGGTGTTAAAGAAACAGACACGAAACGTCCAAGTCGATGAGACGAGGAGGCTTTTCACTCACATCTCCGCACAAGCCCCAGCAAGTGGCGCAGTGCTTAAAAATGTTGAAGATTGCCAAGAGTGTCACAGAGCAGGCTCCCAGGTATCCACGTGCATACATGCACTCCATTTCCCTCTGCAACAAAGTCATCCTCCAGTGATGTCTGGTTGAATTTGTGGGAGAGGGGCTGTGCGGAAGAAGAGGGGGGCCCTTGGAAAACGTGCATGACCTCTCGGCGAATCGACCTGCATAGACACGGCTCCATTTTTGGGGCCGGGCCGTAAGGAAGTAGTTCTGGAAGCCTTCCTTCCTTCTCCAAAATGCAAAACTTCCATCTCAAGTCGGGCCTGTCCCGCTGCTGCACAGCACAGCCGATCGCTCGGGGCTGACCGAGAGGGGAGAGGGAACGCGCAAAAAGGTAATGCGCGGAATGAACAGGATAGGCTGGGAGACGGGCAGTGTAGGCAAACAACTAGCCAGTCAACTCATCTTTCGCGCTGTCGTTCATTCGCCGAGAAACATGTTTGGGCCCTTTTGACGAAATCAGAATACGTCAATGCAAAAGTAAACAAAACAAGGATGAAGGTCGAGGTGTAATTTGCAATGGAATAATAATAGAGGGTAGGTGTCGAAGAATAACGTCGTAATATTGTCACTGCAGGCCCATCGCAATTCCATCTCGTTTCAGCCATTGGCATCGGGCTGGCAGATGGTCACCCCCTCCCTCGACCACCCTTCTCTGACTTGAGCGACGTCACCAAGGCCCCCAGGCCCACACACAGGGCTTCTCCCCGATTGAGGGACGAGCAATACGTCAAGTCTTCTCCCTCGCGCAACACAGCGTCCTCGCTTGGGAGGGTGGGCAACCAAAATGCCACGGCGTGTTTGTACGTGGAAGTTTGTTAATGGTAGAAAAGTCAGAGAGGCAAATTGAAGAAACGCGTCCAAGACGCGGAATCAAGAAAAGACGGAAAGAGTGTGAAGCTTGGTGTCGAAGGTGTGGATGTTTTGAATATCAAAATCCAATGATTCACCAGCACAGCACCAAGGTTCGCGGGCCTGGCAAGAATGGTTTGCTTTCTGCCCCTCTTTTTCTTAGACTATTACATCTAGAATTTTTTTTTGGGGCGAGATCCTAGGTGCATGTAGGTGGCGCGGTCTGGGTTGAGGTTAGTTTTTTGGCACAGGTGTCTAGATATCTTGCTTCCTCTTGCTTCCTGATCTCGAATTCCGTGAAAGGACGGGCCAAGGTGTGGCTGCAAAATGAACGAGTGGCTGTGACCCAAGCTGAGCGAGCGAAAAGGGGGTTAAAAGACTGCATCAAGATCAGCGTGGCAAGACCTTGATCTGGTGTGCCGGGTTTATCGAGGCCCCTTTGAAAGACAAATGAGCTCTCCTCCCTCCTCTAGCTCTAGTGTATTACACCAACATTGGATCCGTGCCTATTCGTGCCTTTTTGACGGATGGGGCTTCTAGACAATATCACCCGGTGACGCAGGGCTTCGGCGTCGCCTTCATCAGAGGATGTGTCCATTTATTCCCGACACGGGCTTCCAGCCTTGACACACACTCACACTTACATACGAGAGCCGGTTTGGTCCACGGTGGGTGAACACGAGATCCCCGTATCCCAGCGTCCATTTTCTCCCAATAGCTGTAATTCAGGGCCCACGGGAGACAAAAGGTGGTGGACCCGACAAGTGAGTTGGGCGGCGCCAGACGACCACCCTGCAGCTTGCAGGCCAGCGGTGCATTAAGCTGTGGCTGCCATCGAAGCAAAAGGCTTGGACTGGTCGAGAATCCAGCAGGAGGCGACGACGATCCACAGTGGATAAGTAGGGCATGTCCGAAGCACGAAATTTAACCTCCGTCAACGTCTCATTGATGGGATGCGTCCACTACCCCCTCGTCCCTCGTGTGACAGGAGGGGTTCAATAAATTTGATCCTCTCTGGGGCGTCGATTTGAACGCTCTTCGCCGAGTGAGGAGATACCGAACCCCGACTGATTCGCCGAGCGGTTGAGCGAGAGAGCGCAAACGAAGAGGCATCAATATGGAGGTAATGAGGGAATTGGATCCCGAAAGAACGTCGAAACCAGGTGACAATTCAAGATCACAGGGCCTTGCACGTCACTTGTGCTAGATTGAGGGTTCATGGTTCTTGGCAGCCTGGCGGGTATTAGCCAGGACCACTTCAAGCCGCCGCATCCGCGGCCTTGCTCTCATTCTCATCTCCCGAGCCGAAAACCCTCATCGCCGAGGGTTGTTGAAGATTGGTTTTTTCTCTTCCCTCTTCCCTTTTGTTTTCTTTGTCCCTTTTCTCGCTGGTCTTCAATTGATTACCCCCGTAGTTTGAGTACTCGGAGCTAAATATGCACCCAAGCTTTGCTCTCAAGTGTTTCCGTTCAAGCTTCGTGTCGGGGCGCCCCGCCGGGAGTCTCCTGTCAAAACTTGAAGCTACCTTGGGCTTGACGCCATGAGCGATACCTCCGGACCTGGGGCAAAAGAACAAAAAAAAGCTAGTGCCGTTCCGATGGTTGATGCAGGTTAGTGCCCGAGTGATGCAGCGCCCCGAGTCCCTGCGCCACCATGCGGAAACCGCACCCCTGGGGCTAGAACAGGACAAGTTGAGCGCTCTGTGAACTTTTTTGCTGCTCCTCAGGGATCGCCGAGCTCTCTAGGCATAGATGCTTTTTCTTTGGCCCGCGTCATGCCGTCGGACAACTCCTCCCGCGATCGCTGGGTGAGAGCCTACTGCTCGGTTCGTTTCCCAATTTGTGCTAGAGCAGCAAAGGGGTGGAGTGCCTCGAGGTCGCCTTGCAACTTGTCTTCAAAACACACGCACAAATACACAAGCACGCCCGTAATGCCTGATTTATCCATTAGACAGACTCGTTGATCAATTGATCAATTGACCCTTTGCCACTTGTGCCGGTCGCCGGACAAAGTAGTCTGTCAATGCCCCCCTCCAAGCATAGCCGATGGGGCTCCAATCCCTTGCCTAGGCTCTGACACGAGGGGTGCACCGGGACCATGGACGAAGAACCAATCCAGGGTTAGAATTTCTGACTGGATCAGGTCCCGTACTTGATACTGGTAGCGGGCATTGCGTGTCGACCGTGGATGGGAGGGTCAGCGCATCCCTATCGCCTGCTTCGAAATCCAGCTCGTCCCTCGTTCAGACTCTTGAGAGAGAGAGAAAGCGAGAGAGAGAGATGATCGTGTCGCTGGTCAAGCCCTGAATGCCCCATGGCATCACTCTGAAAGTGATCTGCGTTGTTTCAGGGCCTATCAACGCGGACGCCCGCCCATCGTCCATTCATCCATGAGCACCCTTCCCTGGGGGAGGCAAGCATGTATGTATGTGTCCTTGTGGCTGTAGAGATGATGAGATCGGCCGTACACCTTCCTCCCATATTCACTGCCGTGGCCTTGTTTGTAGATCGGGGCCCTGCCTTCTTTACTTTTAGGTGTCATTTTCCCCGTCGCTATCGTCCTGAGCGCTGGGGAATCGCGAGGCGAGCAGGGGGTCTGCCCATCCCCAAATACTTCGTGCGCAATGGAGCTGGCAGCTTTCGACGTAATGTCGAGAGACCCAGACATACAAACCATAGGATGGAGGGATACAAGACAGCCTTACATCATTCTGCCCCGCCCTGGGAGTTCATTCCCCTCCATCAATTGATCCATCCCTCCTTCCCCTGCCCTGATTAATACAGGGGTGCAAAGGGTAGAGGGGTACCAACGAGGTACACGGAAATGTACATCATGTCACTCGACTTGTACCTCCCTGTGCGCCCTTCTCCCCGTTTGCTCGGAATTTGCGGTGACACCATCCCAAGCTGTACTTGGCGATACAGCCACAGAGAAGAGTCGATACTTTGTCTTTGAATTCGCTGGTAAAGATAGCAATGACATTTTGCCCTGGAAGGAGCAAATGATTGATGACCGTCGACGCGGGTCAAAGTCGCAGTCGCAGTTTGCAGTGCCCGTCTTGCCCGTCCCCGTTCGTCGTGGGTTGCTGCATACAGCATAGATCCTCTTGCTTATGGCTCATGTCCATCTCACCTTGTTCTCTTTTCGGACTTTTCCTGGCTTTCTCTCTTGTCTCAGATTACGGCGGCCCTTTTACCCCTCTGACCCAGGATTCCATCTTCCTCTCTTCTTCCTCTCTCCATCATTGATGCCAACAACGAAATATTCTCTCTCTTCTCACGCTGGACCTTATTTTTGTTCCTCCCTTAGCCCACTTCCCGTAAACTCTAGTAAACAGGCCCTGCTACACTCACACACTCCCTCGCTTAACAATACGCGACAGTTCTGACTTACACGGGCACCCTCCCACCTGCATCGCGAAAGTGTGCCAAGGACATCGCCGCGCCTTCGAGCCTCATTCGCTCCTCGTTTGGACAGTCGATCACGTTACTGCAGCAAGATTTGCGTCTATTCGTCCTCCCCCACCTGCGAGTGAGCGGCAAAAGGTCCATCCATCTCCTCCCCTCGACTCTTTTTCAACCCCTCGTCTTGCTCCGACAATATCTTGGGAAGAAAAAAAGAAATCCAAGAAAAGCGAGTAAAAGTGGATACGGAGAGAAAGAGAGCAAACAAACCCCAAAAATAGCTTCTCCCTCATGCTCTACCTGGCGGATATATATTCTACCAACTGATCCTTCTATCTTATTGACAAAGAGGAGCACATCCTCCCTATTTTCCGCAGAGGGCTTCAAGTTCATAGCCGGCCCGCCCTCGTCGCCTTTTTCTCGAGAGTAGAGTGACTCGCATCACTTATGAGCGACCATACCTCGACCCTCACAGCTATAGACGCTGTCAGCGCCTCAGCGCTAACACTCTACTATCGCGCCAAGCAAGCCGGCCCAGACCTTGACAATGTGGTCCCCGTCATCCACTCCCTGTCAACCGCCCTCAAGCACTTGAAATTCGAAGCCGATGATCCCGACTCCGTCCTCAACTCCCCGCGCGGCCCGGTCTACTACCGCCAGCTCAACCCCGCCATAGAAGACTGCGATTTTACTCTGCACCAGCTCGGGACTGTCCTCTCCAAATACGAAAGCGGCGCCATATCCGGATCTGACCAGCACGATATACTCGCGCTCATCCGCAAGAAGCTCGACGAGCAGAAGCTCCAGGTCGAGTTGTTCCTGGACACCGTCCAACTCCAGAGCCCGATCAAGACCAGCGCCGGCCTCGCTTGTTCGAACCCCGAGAGTCTCGAGGCGATCAAAGACAAAGTTGATACTATCGCGAGGAAGATTTTTGCTAGAAAGGACTCTGGCTTCGTCGATGACGACAATGTGCTTTGGGAGCGCTTCAGGGATGAGCTCATCCAAGAAGGGTTTTCCCCAGAGGTCCTACGGAAGCACAAGGTACGTACGGCCTGGACTCTCCCGCTCCCTCTAAACCTTTTTTAGCTGGTTTCTTCATATCGCTATCCCATGGATGAGAAGCTAACTTGGTTTATAGGAGGTTTTGAGGGCCTACATTAGAGAGCTCGAGAGCTCGGGCACTCTTGACAACGGCCTGCCCGTTTCTGTGCGAGGACTTCTCGAAAAGGGCCGCCCACATCCTCAGGAACTCCCATATCTAACCATGTCTCCCACGTCATACAGCCAGCCCCCACCCCTGGCGCTCCTGGCGGTGATTGGTATAGCCGAGACGAGAACGATAGATATCATTCCCACAGTAAACCACAGCCTATCCCCGGAGCCAAACCCCCTCTCCTCCTCCCGCAGGTGACTGGGCTTTGGAGAAACGAGCCTCTGGCAGCGATCATGGCTCTCCCAATTTCGACTCTTTCCGGACCCTAATCTCCACGCACGACCTCCTCAACACGGATCTGCCGACCCAGTTTAGCGGCATGTACGTCTCTCCCGCCGTCATGCAGGCTATCCAGAGCTACAACTCATCGCCCCCGAGAGTTAGCCAAGACGGGTATCTGTCAACAGGCGGTCCCGGAGCCATGGAGCCGTACTCGCCTCTCGGGACGTCTCCCGATTCGTTCCTCCTCTGCCAACATATAGCGAAACTAGCGCGGGGCCCCTCCCTACAGCTCAAGCCCTTCGAGTCGCGCGTCGAGGCTCAACCCCGATCAAAACGGCAACGAGATTCCCCTCGACGCCACCTGGACGAAGATCAAGCGGAGCCTCGTCAGTCTTCTCGTTCTGGACCGCGCTGGGGTGCGGTATGAGGCCCGTCCCGACTTTGTCGCCGTTCTTGGCGTGCTGTCGCGGGAGCAGGTCCAGGACTTTGCCAGGCAGAGCGAAGAGGTACGCGCCGCTCGAAACCGAGCCGCCGCCGGCCGCCCCTACTCTCATCCCGCTCCCCCGGAGGCAAAATTCCGCTGCACCGTACCCAGTCAGCGACAGTGGCAGCGACAGCGACACGGACGGCAGCTGGAGCGAGAGCGATACCTCGGAAGAAACGAGAAACGCCCGTCCCGACTACAAAACCGCCGATGCCCAGAGCGATGACAAGGGTACCAAGTCGTACCCATTCATCGTGCATCCACCCGCCGAAAAGGACGAGGCCCAATCTCCCTCCAGCACGGTGAAGCCGAAACCGATCCTCAAGAACAAGAACGAGAACCGCGTTCACTTTGGCCCCAACCCATACGAAACCCGGGCGGACGATGATTCCACTTCTCCCCGGCGACCCAAGGACCGTGATCGTGATCGTGATCGGGATAGGGATGACCGTGATGAGCGCAGCAGACACCGCAGGAGACGGCACCGGGATGACCACGACCGAGATCGGGATCGGGATCGAGAGCGTGATCGGGACCGAGACCGGGACCGGGACCGGGACCGGGACCGGGATCGGGATCGATAGGGACCGGGACTCGCATCGGCGCAGGCATCACCGCGAGAAAGAGGATAAGCCCAAGAGGAGGTCCCGGGGCGGTGACGCACTGTACGCAGCGGGTTTGGGCGGTGCTGCTGCTAGCTTGATGAGTGTGCTTGCCGAAGCCGCCGCGTCGTTGTGATGGGTCCATTGAGTTCTCTCACCCCTGTCTCACTATTTCCGGGACCGCCAGCGGTTCCACGATTATAAGCCCCTGCTTTTCACTTACACCTTATTCCCTTTGTATTTTCAGCCCTTTTATCTTTTTCTTTTCCTTGCATAAGAGGTTTAAACGAGCTTCGCATCATGATTATCTTTTTTCTTTTTTTCTCTTCTTTCCTTTCTAGTTGTAATACATCTCTAGGTTGGGTGGGGCGTGTTTTGGCTTTTTGATGATGACGAGTATTGGTCGGGAATGGTTCATGTAAGACAAAGATGCAATGAAGACCAAAAGAAGACTTGGTGAGAGGAACGTGGACTAACGTGTGGTCGTATCATATCGTGATTAGATACCCTGACATTTTATGAAGTACAATATGAAGCAACTAATCTTTATAACCAAGTCATGCTCTATATCTTGACGAGCTCATCGCCCTGCATCTGCACTACACTCGACAAGTGTTCGACATTACATTATGAGAGAGACGCCTTAAAAGGATCGGACGTTCCTTACACATGTAAACAGATTACATGCAATCTGTTTCGGATGAAGCAGTGAGGGGCAGATGTGACTTGATTGACAACGGTGCCCGAATGGATCACTGTTCAACTTGAGCCAGGCTGCGGCAGATCTGGTAGGCTTTCTGCGAGATAACGTTGAATCGATTCCAAATATCGGCCTGACTTCCGTCGCTAGGCGTCCACCCCCACCACTCTCGTCGAATCGTTATTTCTTGCCGGGATATAGGACCCCTCTTTCTTTTGTGAGGGGGCAGGCGCCACCGGCGAGTGCTCTCACGTCGTACAAGATATGCAGGAAGACTGCCAGCCTCTGTTACAGACAACATCCAAGAGGAGAGAAGAGGGGATGGCAGAAGGGCATTCCACAAGGGGGTGGGGGACTCCGTCGAAAGTAATTCTTGCGACATCATGGACCTCAGCCAGCTCGAGGAGATGCTACAGTTTGCGAAAACGTCGTTCATAATTCCCGTTTCTACGATGTCCGTAACGCAGCCTGCTCTTCTGGGAGCCCAGCCAAGATCAGGGCTGAAGCCCCTCCTGGTCGTTGGGCCCCGCGCTGTTGGATTACGCGTTGAATCGCCTTTATAAGTTCTGGTTGGCCCCTCGTTATCCGACCCCACGAGAGCTTTCATGTTTTCTTTTGCTTTTGCAAGTTCTCTGGATCTCACTGACCACGACTTTCGGCCATACTACCACACAACTATCCACTTAATCGTTCCCGAAGTTTTTAGGCTCGCAATCTTGACTAAAATTTGGTTGCTCGCCGCTCCCTTGAAACCATGGTAGGCTCCCCGCAGGTGCGACGAGTTCAAATATGCCATCGTCTGCGCCCTGCCCATCGAATTCGACGCGGTCTTGCTCGCATTGGACGAATGGTACAATGGCCCGATTGGGCAACACAAGCAAGACCGCAACTCGTACACGACCGGGCAAATCGATAACATCAATATCGTGGTGGCAATCGGGGAGAAGGGGAACACCAGCGCGGCGTGCGTGGCGTCCGATATGCGCGTCAGTTTCGAGAACCTCTTGCTTACCCTCGTCGTGGGGGTCTGTGGTGGCGTGCCCCTCGCGTGCCAAGATGAGGAGATGATACTCGGCGATGTAGTCATCAGTAACAGCATCAACCAGTATGACTTTGGCAAGTTGCGCGGGGACGGAGAAATCCAGGCGTATAGTGGGACCAAAGACTTCACTACAAAGCTCAATCAAAGATATCGATCGATTTTACGACACATGGATACATATCATGCTAGAGTCGAGTTAGAGACCAAAGTCGCCACGAGGCTTCAGTGGATCCAGGGCAAGATAGCCCCGGAAAGAAAACTAGCAAAAGCATATCAATACCCTGGAGCAGCCAACGACAGGCTCTACGAGGCCGCATATGAGCACAAGCACCGCGGAAGCCCCGACTGCATCTGCTCTTCCGAGCTCAAGATATGTGAAGCCTCGCAAAAGATGTCGTGCCTAAACCTCGGGTGCGACGAAGGTCGCCTCGTGTCACGGATGCGACTCGACGATATTCAAAAGCTGGAACGCTCGGACAACCAGAAGCAGGAAGCGCAGGCGCGTTCCATCATAGTCGGAATGGTGGGGTCCGCCAACTCCTTGGTCATATCTAGCAAGCATCGCGATGCGCTGGTGCAACAAGGCATCGTCGCGGTAGAGATGGAGGGCGCCGGCGTGGGACACGATACCCAGACCATCATCGTTAAGGGAGTGAGCGACTACGCAGACAGCCACAAGAACAAAGACTGGCAGGGCTTCGCTTCCATTCAAGCGGCCTCCGTCGCGAGGGAGCTACTCATTTTCGTCGAGCGGCAGAACCAAGCCGGCCAAGCAGAAGGGGAGATACCAACTGTGAGGCTCTTCCCCGATCTCTGACTGTCTCCGAGTGGAATTCCATCGGTAGAACTGAGACTGGAACCTCCGCTAGCGATTGGCGCAGTCAGCCAGAGCGCGGTAGAACTGAGACTGGAACCTCCGCTAGCGATTGGCACAGTCAGCTACAGCGCGGTAGGCAGTTGTATCTAGAGTCGGACGACTTTCTAAGCCGCGTTCAAGGCCTACAACTCCTACAGCAAGGATTACGCAACGCGCCTACTGCGCGAACTCGAGCCGAATTACCCGACCGTTTTCGAAGCTGCTAACCGTATGGCGCTGTGCCTGTACAAATACCCTGATCAGCAAAGCAGGCCCCTTTTGCCCAGTGACAAACCTCATCAAGAGCTGGAGGATCATGAGCTAGACAGCCTCCAAAACGCGCAAGATTTCAGTGTGGCCAGTGAGCCTTACGCTGGCGACCGGAGGCGGCTAATTATTCAGGCAAGGCTCACGCGGTTTATCATCGACGTTCGCATGGAGGAGAAGAAAAGCCCGGGGGAGGTTGGACTTTGGTCAAAAACGCAAGCTCGTCGATAAGTCGCTGAAGATTCTGAATCCTTTGGAGGTCTCCAGGGACATGGATGGTTATGTTGATTTCCAAGCAACCATGAGGCGTCTAAGGGAGGATCTTTGATGCTGGAAGACATCGTGGGTGCTACACGGTAGTAGAACTAGTACACACTCCGACAAAAGCTCATCTCTAAACACACTACAGATAGCTGGCGGGTACAAAGAAATAAAATTGTTCATATCATTCATATCAAATTAAAATCTAATGCCCGTTAACTGCTATTTCCTTATATCCACCACGACTGTGACCACCAGCTCCTTACGTCCGCTTCGATGTAGCCTAATAATACAATTCCATCCCTATACGAATAGTCAAATACCCATTATCGTATCAGTTGTACATGTAGCTCTTATGCTGATTCCCCTGCTGTTGGGCTAGGTGTTGTAAAACCCTCAGTCCTTGTCTCCTTGTTGCTTCGTCATGATGGCGGCCTGGGACTGTCGGGGCCATCCCAAACTGATTGGCCCGGTGCGAGTGAAATATGTCGTAAATGCAGGGCCCATGTTATATAAAGGAGGTGAAAGTGGTAGCGTATCCAAGGCAGTAGATGCTACGGGGAAGGCCCCTTTTGCACAAGAGTTTCGCGACTCTGGCTCACCTCGGCATCGACAGAGGTTGCAGGACTGATCGCCAGGTTCCTCTTGCGGAGGTTTAGTAAGAAGAAGCCTGCCGGTACGGAGAGAAGAAACCCGGCAATAGTCCAAGCGGAGATTTCAACAATTTCACTCAGGCCCCCATCCCAAGATTGCCATGATTGTTATCAGGGCTACCAGTTGAATCAGCACTTTTATTGCCGGTTCCGTTCTCGTTGCTCGGGGCCGGGAGAGGCGTGAGGTTAGATGAGAAGTGGCTCAACACCACAGAGCCACTCGCCGCAAGCTCAGGGAGCATTGTGGTGAGCGGCTCGGCCAAAGAATTCGTCGAGACGTATCGTATCATGGGAGTAGTCGAGCAGGTCCAGGAGGTGTTCGTCTCATCGCTCCTGAAGACATACCTCCCATGGTCACTCTGGTCAAAGGGCCCTTGCTGGGAGGGAATTGTGATAAATGGTGTGTCATTCTCCCGTCTGTGACGTCCCCGCGTCATATTTTCTGGTTCGTGTCCGACGGGAGCTAATCTAGACAATACGGAGGAGGGAGTGTTGCTGGTGTACTAATGTTGTGATGTGGGCGAGGAGGTTTGTTCAGTGTCAGAGACTTGAAAGTTGTGAGAGTGAAAGTGCGTGTTTCAAGAACGGAGCCGGAGTCTATATGTCCTGCCCGGCCAGCATGCACATGCTCTTATCGGGGCTGGAGGATGGCTGTTACATGTAGACTCGGAATTTGAAGAATATGGCTTGTACAGCCTGCGACAACGACGGCTTGGGTTTCCGTCTCTAAAATGCCCGTAACGCAGCCTGTTCTTCCGAGGGCGAGGGCGTAACCCAGTAGCGCGGGGTCCAACAACCCGGAGGGGATTCAGTCTTCGCCTTAATTAGGGTCGCCTTGAATTGCTTTGCATACATAGGCTTGAGGTGGAAGTGCTCGTTATCCGACCTCACGAGGGGGTTCTTCTTTGCTTTTGCGAGTCTTTTAAACCATACTACTCACTAGTTACCACCCACTTTGTCCTCGTCTTTTTTTTTTTTTTGTTTCAAGGCTCGCAGTCCTAGCCATAGTTTGGCTGCTGCTCGCCACTCCCCTCCAGCCATGGCAGGCCGTACCCTCCGTTGCGACGAATTCAAATATGCCATCATCTGCGCCCTGCATATCGAATTCGACGCCGTCTATCTTGCCTTAGACGAAGAGTACGAAGCCGTGCTTGGGCACCACGACCAAGACCGCAACTCATACACGGCCGGGCGCATCGGGACTAGTAATGTCGTGGTGGTGCTCGTGGAGAAGGGGAACAGCAGTGGTTAGAACGGGCAGCGAGTTCGTTGAACTTGGGGGTGGGGGGTTGGCTTATACTTGTTTCTCGACGACCGCATCTGTCAAGCCAGCTGCTGTATCACCCCAAAATATCCTCAGATCTGCTCTTTGACCACGGATGGATGTTAGCAGGACGAAAGTGGACACAAGGCTCGGCAACCCACGTTTAAATGCAGCCACCAACGCTATGGTTTGGGAAGGGAGAGTTAATAAGTAAACCAATGATAAAAGATTTAAACTGTGAACCCAGAAGGACGCGCCATAGTAATCATGACCAATGTATTCACCTCTATCATATTCCCTGCGTGCTCCGGCCTTTTTATGCCAAAATGATAGTAGTACTATAAAAAGAAATCAAAAAGTCAAGGCAAGTCCCCAGCAGGCGGGGTGCGAGCCTACGCAGACAAGCACTTTGTTGTGTCTCATTCAATAGCCTTGCTTACCGAGATCTAACCCTCCGACCTCGGGAGACCGTAGTGGAGGGAGGCGCCGCCTCGGACGCAACGCGCCCCAAAATCTTCGCCCTCGCCTCCGCAGCCCCGGGGTCATCATACTCCACCTGCGTAAGCAGGGAATGACCGTCCCCCAGACCAAGACTATCCTCCTGATCGTCGTCCACAACGGACACGCTCCGGGCCTTGCTCCCCGAGGATTCCCGCCGCGTAAGCCCATGCGTAGAGGCAGCGCCCGCTCCAGTAGTGCCGCCGCCGCCGCCGCCGCCGACGCCTCCAGCAACAGCAGCCGCGAGACTCACGCTCGAAGCCGACGAAGTGCTCGTCGCGCGCCCAAGAATGCCGCGACGGCGCCTATCCCTCGTGGGCGAGGTAGGCTGCGCCGGGAGGGCACCGGCCGAAGATGGTGCCTGGATCCCCGCCCCGGCCGACGGCGCCACGAGGGAGGTGAGTTTGGAGGAGAAGGCGAGAAGCTGCTGCGCGCGCGCCTGAGCGCGGGCTTCTTCCTGGGCGCGCGCCGTTTCCTGCGAACTCGGCTGCTTGGGCTGCTCCGCCTCCTTGTCCGACACGGTCGGGGTGAAGGGTCCGCCGCGGTCGCTGCCGCTGCTGCCGCCGCTACCGAGCAAGGCGATTCTGAGCGGGATACCGAGTTGGCGGCTACTTCCTGTAAAGGCCGGGCGGTGGGGAGGGCCGAGGAAGTCGAGGTAGATGTGGATGCGGATGCGGACGTGGGAGCCGCTGCCGCGGCCGCGGAAAAGTCGTCGCGGTCGTCAAAGATGTGCGTACGCGCGGTGAGGTACCGTGCCGACGCTGTCGTAGTAAAGCTCTTGTCCGGAGCACTCCTGATATTGGTGGGCCGTGTGTCTTCGTCCTCGTCGTCGTCAAAGGCGTCCGCCTCGAATCCGCCGACGGTCCGGCTCGCTCGAGGTGCCGGGGCCGCGGCGGCGGGCTTTGCAGTAGACGATGACGACTGCTGCGGCTGCGGCTGCTGCTTGTTCTGCTTCTCGTCGCCGGTCGCCGCAGGCTGCGCGGCGGGATCCGTTTGATTGAGCTCAGGAAACATAAAAGGCCCCAGGGGCAGCTTTTCCCCGCGGGAAACGCACTCCCACAGCCAGCGCTCCGCGACAACTGGAATACCGTGGCTTAGGGCAAGCCGCAGCTTCTCGCGCCTCACGCGCGCGAGGTCCCTGCACAAGAGGAGCGAGGTGGCGCGGCGAAACGTCTCGTCGAAGCGGGCGCCGAGCTGCTGGGCGGCGCGGTCGAGGTGGTGCAGGTCGATGCCGGAGAAGCCCGCGCTGCAGAGGGTCAGGTCGGCGAACCCGGGGAGGGGAAGACGGGGAAGGGGCGGCCGAGGACGTGGGCGCGGGGGTCGAGGAGGGTTTTGGTGTGGATGCAGCGCTCGAGGAAGAACTCCGTCACGAGCTGGGGGCGTCGTTGTCGTTGTCGTTGTCGTCGTCGTCATTGTTATTCTTATTGTTGTTGTCATTAGTGTCATCGCTCTTCATGGCGTCGGGAGGGGCTGATGCATCCGCCGCTGCGCGGAGGTCATCGGGGATAGCGGAGGAATCCTGAGGAATGAGGAGGAAGCGATGCCAAGGCCGGTACGGCGCGCGGGCGCGGCGGACCTCGTCGAGGGTGCGGCACACGCGGCCGCCGAGGGCGGTGATGGTCTGATCAAGGATACCCGATCGGCGGTCGTCGAAACCGCGAATATAAAAGCAAGAAGTGGAAAAGATGCCGGCGTCCGGATTCGGCTGGGGAGCGGCGGGAGCAGCGGCCGGTGCCGGTACGGGGGCTTCGGGCGCAGTTCGTTCAGCGGGTGGCGTAGCTGCATCGCCGGACCCGGACGGCGTCCCCACCTCCGCGACCGGCGCCTTGGCGCTCCCGCCGAGAATATCCCCCAGACGGTTTCCCTCTGAGAGCTCAGCTTCATGCTCGCCGTCTTGCGCAGCTTCCTGCGCGGGGCGCCCGCCGGCTCCGCAAAGGAATCGAGCAGCCTCTGCCTCTTGCCGAGAGACGTGTCCGGGTCGTCCGGGCCCCGCGGCCGCGCTCTTCGGGGGTAGGAGGGGGTCGTAGTACTTTTCGTCGAGGACCATGCCGCGCTCGACCGTGTGCGTGAGCCATTCGAGAGCCACCACCTTGAGCCCCCACTTGCGCGCGGCGAGGTACTTTTGGCCTTCGGGCTTGGATACGATGAGGTGCGTGCAGCGCCGGTTGAGCTCGCCAGAGTAGTCGGCGCCGTGGGCGGTGATCTTTTCCTGTAGAGCTGTTCGTTCCTCGACTGGCCCAAGGGCGTTAGCAATCGCTAAGAGATGTTATATGTGTATAGATCCAGTGGAATTAGATCAGGGCTGGGCTCACGGTTGAGAAATCCCGTGAGGCACACGGTCAACCTCTTCCTCCTCCTCCGTAGCTCCTCCGAGTCGTACTCGAGAACCGACCCTTCCGCGCCGCCCGTCTCGAGGGGTGAGAGCTGCCATTCGGTCTCGACGGCGGCGAAATCGATGGGGGCGTCCGCACGCCAGAGGTCCGCGAGGGCCTCGACCCAGCCGGCATCCATAGCCTTGACGTGGGCAAGTGACTTGGCAGCATGGCGGTATTTTGCGGTATCGTAGTCCCCGACGAGAAGGTGCGTCACCTCGACGGTGAGATCGGCCGTGAAGACGCCGCCGAGGCTCGCTGTTTTGCGCAATATCTTTCTACACGGGCGATGCGTTAGTCCCGGCCAGGAAGGGGAGAAGGGGGAGGGTGGTGGGGTTTTCGGAACGCGAAAGCTAAAGCTAACCCCGCTTGCAAAGGAGTCCTCTTCCAAGAGAGGAGAGCACGCGACGATTTCGCGTGAAGACAAGCCAAGGGGGAGGGAAAGAGCGTACGGTTTGGTTTGGCGGGATGCTGGTGCAGCAGATGACGATGCCTTTGAGAGGTTTGGAGGAGTCGAACGGCGCCGCGACATCAGCCGCCGGCTCGGGTTCCATGATGGCCGGAGGGGAACAAGCTCCTTTTCACCGTTCGCCGGAGCGCGACGGGGAGTCGGCCACTACGGAGGATTCGAAAACGGTTCGATACCCGCTTGAAGAGAAGGAAGGTAAAGCAACGTATTCCCGTTCGCGAGACGTAGAGGCGAAGAAAAATTAAATACAAATACAATAAATTCCGGGGCAGGCGACGTCACGACATGAAGCAATGTGAATCCATACCACACACGTTGGAGAGGGCGTCACGCAAAATCGGAAAACGCGACTTGAGTGGGTGGGTCGCCGCCGAGGTCACTCAACGACCACTTTGGAAGCCTGGCGTCGCGTCTTGTCACCTGCCAGCGCAAGCGCAAAGCACGAGCACGAGCACCAGCGTGCTCACGTCCAGTTTAGGCTTCCAGGGTTGACAAAGTTTGATTGTGCACAACGTCATTGGCCTATGTCCTGGCGCCTGCCCTGTGCGCAGTGGGTGGATTGTGCCTTAAAAGGGGGTTTTCCGACTTGTCTGTCCATACACCACGGTCGGCAAGGGTGGGGACTGCCTGTTCCTCGGGATCTGTCTGACATAATCACTAGTGGAGTTCGCTGTTTTGATGCGCTGATGGATCGTACCTGCGCTCTTTTTTCTACTCTTCCTTCACGGTTGTTTGCTTAATACAAGGACGACGTATCTGGGGAAGGAACGCCCGGGGAAGGAAGGCTTGGAAAGTGCTGACTTGGCTCTCATGCCTGTCAGCTTCCACAAGTGGCTTCTCTCCCTCGTTCCTTTCGCGGTGGCGGCCTGGGGGAGGAAAGAGGGGAGAATCGCTGCGAACAAGTTCACAATCCGTAGATCCTCAGCCTACGTCAATACCAAATCCGACTCCTCCCCTGTGAGACAAAAACCCCAGATTATTAAAGGGAGGCATGACTTGGATTGGAAACCACACTCCGACCGGGGCTGGCCGGCAGCCAAAAAGGGAACCACTACCCCCTTCCAGTGCTCCCTCTCTCTCTCGCGCTCGTGAATCGTTTTATGCTTCTCCCATACTAATCTACGAAATTGATCAACTTCTGTTTCCGGTCTGTGGCTCCCTGCGACATCACCCACCCCTGTCGAGCGACTAATATGAAATGGGAACCAGATGCAGAATAAGCCTGAATCTGACCCCCACGATAGACAGCCAGCTTTCCAGCTCCCCTCCCCTGCCTAACCCGATGGGGAAGCTTGGGGGTGCACTGGAAACGAAGCGAGGAGGGCGTGACGACCTATATTTGATCCAATCTTTTCTCCCATCATCATATTACACTCCTCAAGTGTCGAGGACAAGTACGAAGTAGTATCTCCAACAGATACCTTCCCTCTCTCTCTAGTGTAGTTTCGTTTTGCATCGTTCAGCATGAGAATGGTCATGGGTTAAAAGAAAATGTAGTGTAGGACGGCGAGATGGTCTCTCTTGTTCCTTTGCCCCTCTTCTCCGGACAACATAGTGTACACAAGGCGAGCCTCTCTTTGCACAGAGCGGACAGGCTCGCTCACAGGACAGGACATGCAGGCAAGCTGGCGGCCGGGAGGTTGCAGCGAATAATCTGTCCACAGGCATGCAAAGCACCTACCTGCGACGCAGGCTACAATTCCTGTTCCTTATTGTTCGCGTCGTTTCATGGGATGCAATAGCCTCCCTTCCTTATTGCGGGTTAGATGAAATCAAGGCGCAGGCGATGGCACACGCGCATGATGGAGTATGTTCACCTGCCAAAGCCCAACCAGCCAGCCGGCAATGCTTCTCGTCCCTGGGAGGGAGTACTCCCAAGAACAGGGAGCACCCAAAAGACGCGAACTGATTCATCACTTTCTTCATCACGACCATCTTAAGACAACGGAGGATTCAAGGACGAAAGCAACATCAATGGCAAAGAATTAAGGCGAAAAAGGAAACCAACAAAAAGGAGAAGGCAGAAAGGAAATCACCTGGAATGCGAATGCGGCGCTGGAGAGATTCCCTTCCCTTCGTCTGACTGCTTTTGTTCTTGGTCCTTGTCCCCCCTCTCCCTTGACTTGGCCGTCGAGGGGTACTGTGCTGTACCGGTACTCTACAAGCATACGAATCCATCGAGGGGAAGGAAAGGTGATTTTTGGCGAGTGGCGGATGCGCGTCTTCGAGATGAGCCGCTGACGGCCCAGCCGATGACAATGCCCGCGATGCTACTGGACGAAAAAGATGATTTTCGCCCGGAGGCGAGGCGAAGGGAGGACGGTGGAGGAGGGGGTCACAACAGCCACTTTCTGCAATGTCTATCCAGACGGGCAACTTTGCTGGGCATGGCTGGCGCCCAGATTCTCTCGTGTCTGCCCCCTTCCAGGGAAAGAAAGAAGGAAAAAAGCAAGTGACGGGCACACCCAGGTAGTCCTTGGTTCCGCACCCGTCACACACAGAATGGTGGGAGGTTCACCAAACCATTGTTTGACTGAAATTAAGATTTGATGTGCAGCTGCTCCACGCGAAGTGGTGTTGGACAATGCTGGTTGGTGACGACACTCCCACACTTGCCCAACTCCACCCGCCGCCCTCCTGGTCGCCCGCCTATTTCGTGTAGTGTACAAGTCCAACATCTTCCAGTGGTGTTTTCCGCGTACATTCGGACGATGGTCGGAACTGGAACATTGACGATGGCTGTCTTTTTCTGAGGGGCTCGACCATTTATCGCTTCACCTTCTCGAAAGCGCGACGATTGCAGAAAGTGATTTCGGTAATCGTCCCTTGGAAGTGAGCATCGAAAGTTAGATTTGACCCAAGAAGCGATTGGACCCGTGTCATCGTTCGCCCTGAGGATTGTGGGCTGGCAGGCTGGGGGCATGTACAAATTGTGATGCTGACCAGGCCCTACCACTGCACCACCAATGGGCCCACCAAATTTTGATTAGAAGAGAGAGCCGACCTCAACCACGTACACTCTAAGCAGTGTGTGGTGTATGCCGTATCATGCTTGCGAATGAACTGAAAGGACCCCGTGCATTTTGCATGGGCTTGGCCAGCCGGGGCAAGCTGCTGCTTGTAATACAATGGTCTCCACGACGAGATGACAGCCTGGAACGAGAGGATGCATTGGCAGGATGTGACCCCCTATCTGGTATTAATAGACTATTACACTACGAAGCGCATCCCGGAGGAAACCCCAAAAAGCAACCCTAGAGGGGAAAGGATCTGTCGTTGGAGTCACAGGCGGGATCCGAGAGTTATTAGCAGGTACCTGCGGGACTCGCAAAGCGCATAAGAGCAACGGAGCCGACCGAAAGAGAAAGCGAAGAGACTGGATGAGTGTGAGTGAGCGAGCGTGTCGTTGAGAGTGTGCGTGTGTGTGCGTGTGTGCATCCATCTCTGCGTCCAAGGGACCAAGTCCTTGATTACGGTGGGCCACTGACGGGGAAGGGGGTTTGTGGCGACGGGGTCTGTCCCTAGGATGGTGTGTTATTGGGGGCAGGTGTCTTTGGGCCCTTGGTTTGCCTCGGAGAGGGCATGAAAGCGAAAGAGAAGGGAGAGGGGTGAGGGGGTGGGAGGAAAAAGAGACGTCTCGGTATCGAGAAGGGACGAGTGCTACCCTTGTCCTGGGGAATCCCGGCCACGCTCCCTCAGACCTTTTCTCCCCCTCCCCTCCCAATCTGTCGTTACTCTCGCTTACCAGTCGAGCGAATCGACGAGAGGGCATGCCGCCGTCCAATCATTTGTATCTTGCTACGGGAGTGGTGGACCATTGCTTTAATACCCTGAAGCCTTTGAGGGAAATGTTCCGTCTTCCCATCAATGACGACGTGGTGGGGACGGGGGGCCTCTTGCTGCAAGTAAGGTCCAACAAAGCTCAAAATGATTATGATTGATGAAAGATCAAAGATCAAAGAATAGTTCTTTTTCAGCATCCAAAAAGTGGAGAGGATTGCCCCACTCTCCTTGGCTACGTGTGTTTGAGCAATGAGAATGGCCATTGACGGGGACCCAATATCATGGGAGAAGAGGCGAAAAGAAGCCTGGAAAAAGCAAGCGCGTGCAGCTTGTAAAACAAAAAACCTTGCGCGTAGGCGCACCAGGCTCTCTTCCGACGGCTGGAAGAGGCTTCTTTTCGCGACGAGCTCTTCGGAAGGGGCCAGGCCTTCTTTTTAACAATTCCTCGCCGCTAGTACTAGTGCAGTGGACAAAGCCGCGGATTCTCTGGCTGGCGGGTGTATTGCTTCGATTTCTTTCGCCGCCACCCCTCTCCAGCCTCACACTCTCCCCTCTCTCTCTCTCTCGATTCGATGTTTCTGTTTTCTGCCCCCGTGGACTCGAGCTGCGGGAGCTAACCCTTTCTCCAATCGAAGCATAAACGCCAAGCGGAGAACGTACCTATCGTCACCAAGGAGTGGAAATCAAAGCTTGGTTGGGGGAGGTGAGGTAAGTAGGTAGAGGAGGGATCTGTGTCTTTTTCTTCGCTTCTTTGTGTCCTTTCTGGCTGGCTCGTTTGAGGAGAGACAAAAAACTTGCCTTGCTCCTGGGCCACCGTAAGCTGCATTTAATCTTGCTTCTCTCTGCTATGCACGGCGAACAGAGAGGAAAAAGGGTCTTGCGGCGGGGGCCTTGGCGAAGCGCAAGGTTCGACGACATGGGGTTTGATGCGGAGCACCAGCACCAGCACCGCACGCCCACACATAATAGACATATCCACACATCCGCAACACGCACCTTTGCAAATGGTCACCCCACCGAGAGAAGCTGCCGCGTTGTCCTTGCAGTGATGATGGGGCAGCAGCAAACCGGCCAACGGCCTGGCTATATTACCCCTCCCAGGGGCACCGGCTGGCCAGTGACAGAAGGACAAGAGGAGAGAGCGAGAGAGAGAGGAGAAAGAGAACAAGGCGAGTTCTTTGGGGATCTCGATGGGGGTGCCTTGGGCGCGATGCGGCCGCGGCTGCAAAGGGTTCCCGTTGAGGAAAATGGCAAAAGAGAAGACAATGTTAAAGCGCCACGTCCTGGTTTCTGCACTGCAAA